ATCAAACATTTTCACGTTTTATTAAAGATATAACAATACATGTTAGGATGATTTTATACTGACTAAAAGTAACTTGACACTTATTGACTAAAGCACCAGTATACAGGCATGAGCGAGGAACTTAAAACTCAAACATCTCTCAAGCTTACACTAAACATCTCTACTGTACAAGGAAAGATCTACTGCAGGTCGCCACGTAATATATTGTGATTAAATACGTAAAATAAGTAACCATGTTTCTCTTAATATTGTGTTATTCATTTAGAAATGATAATGTTCTCTTAAAATACTGGAGGAGAGGATGCGGGCAGTGATACGTGTGAGACAGGGCCAGGGAGGCAAGTCCGACAGGGGTAAACGGCGCCTCGTTGTCAGCAGTCTCATTACGCTCTTGTGGTGTTCTTGTCCTGTTCTTGTTCCAACAACACCACGGTGGCGCCTCCGTCAGGTTATTGCTTGGTTGCGACCTTGCGCCTACCCCCCCTGCGGCCGCGGCGCCTCCTTCCCTCTGCGCGCTTCTGGTGACGCTTGCGGCGCCAGCGGCGGCGGAGGGAAACGGCCTCCTTGCGGGAAATAGTCTCTTCGTCTCCAGATTTGGCCTCAGCGAACTCGGTGCCATCGGCGTACTCCGTGTCGTCTCCTGTGAAGGCGTAGGCTGAAACAGAAGACGATCGGGGTTTACCACCACTGCCAAATGTGTACGTCTTTGTGCTGCGTGAGTGAGTCTCCACAGTGGCTGGGTACGTCACTACGGTGTGGGTTCTTACGCCATACTTCCTATGGCTGTTGCTTCTGTGGCTGCTACTTCTACTACTACTGCTGATACCCCCACTAGCAACAGCATTGTCTCCCCTTATAGGCCCATTATCTTCAGCATGCGAGGAGTATCTGTAGTGGTAGGTGTTAGTTCCAAACCCAGCAGCCCCCCCTTGGGTGGTACTTCCTGATGCTGCGCCAGACTCTGCCTGTCCGAGGGTGAACGGCAGAGCCGCCTTATCATCACCTACTGTATCAGTGTGTCCTATCACATCCGAACCATAGGGATGGCCCACGTAACTGAACCTCCCCCCACCTGGGCTGCTTGGACCATCTGTAGTCTCGCGGTGAATGGTGGTTGAGTTGTAAGTTCTGAAGCCACCAGTGGGCAGTGGCTGGAGATCCCCATGCGTTAGCGAGCCACCTGGCTGTCCGGAGCCACCTGAGTAATGGTAAGTGTAAGTCCTAGAGGAGGTGGAAGTAGAGTAGCCGCCACGTGCACCAGCTACATTGTTAATACCAGAGCCAGAACCTTCAGAGAAGCCAGTTCGGTTGAAATAATTTAGTCTCGAGTCTGCACCTGTACCAGAACCACCAGCGTAGCCAGTGTAGCCTGTTCTGTTGAAGTAACTGAGTGTTGAGTCTGCACCTGTTCCATAACCACCAGCATAGCCAGTGTAACCTGTTCTGTTGAAGTAACTGAGTGTTGAGTCTGCACCTGTGCCAGAACCACCAGCGTAACCAGTGTAACCTGTTCTGTTGAAGTAACTTAGTGTTGAGTCTGCACCTGCACCAGAACCACCAGCATAGCCAGTGTAACCTGTTCGGTTGAAGTAACTAAGTGTTGAGTCTGCACCTGTTCCAGAACCCCCAGAATAACCAGTGTAACCTGTTCGGTTGAAGTAATTAAGTCTTGAGTCTACACCTGTGCCAGAGTAGTGTGTATCATTTTCAGTGTATCTTGTGCCTGTGCCAGAGTATTGTGTGTTTGTTCCAATACCGTACCGTGTATCTGTTCCATCATATCGTGTGTCTGTCCCATGGTGCCTTGTATATGTGTTTGTCCCTGTACGCCTAGAATCCTTTCCAGTGTACTGTGCATCTGTATCTGTTCCTGTGTTTGCGGTACCATTTCTAAAGTATTTTGTAGTTGTTAAAGTATATCTTGTGTCTGTTCCGGTATGTTGGGTGTCTTGGTCAGTCCCTGTGTATCTCGCATCTCCAGTGTGTCTTGTATCACTTTCTGAATGCTGTGTGTCTGTGCCAGTTCCTGCATATCTCGTATCAGTTCCAGTATACCTTGTACTTGTCAAAGTGTAACGTGTGTCTGTGTCAATTCCTGTGTATCTTGTGTCATTTTCATTGTTTCGGGTGTCTGCTTCAGTCCCAGTATGCCTTGTACCTGTTTCAGTGTATCCTGTATCAGTTCCAGTGTGCCGTGTGGCTGCATCACTCCCTGTATACCTTGTTTCAGTGTATCTGGTATCTGTTTCTGTGCGTCGTCTATCTGTGTCAGATTCTGCATATCTGGATTCAGTTCCTGTGTATCTCGTATCAGTTCCAGTGTGCCGTGTGCCTGCTTCAGTCCCTGTATACCTTGTACCAGTTTCAGTGCGTCGTCTGTCTGCACCAAATCCTGTATATCTGCTGTCAGTTCCTGTATATCTTGTATCAGTTTCTGTATATCTGGTATCTGCTTCACTGCGTCGTCTCTCTGCTTCAGATCCTGTATATCTAGTATTAGTTCCAGTTTGTTGTCTGTTTGCTTCAGTCTCTTCTTCAGTTTCAGTGTATCTGGTATCTGCTTCAGTGCGTCGTCTATCTGTACCAAATCCTGTATATCTTGTATCAGTTCCAGTGCGTTGTGTATCTGCCTCAGTCCTTGTATATCTTGTATCAGTTTCAGAATATCTTGTATCAGTACCAGTGTATCTGGTATCTGTATCAGTGCGTCGTCTATCTGTGTCAGATTCTGCATATCTGGAGTCCGTTCCTGTGTATCTTGTACCAGGTTTAGTGCGTCGTCTATCTGTGACAAATCCTGTATACCTGGTGTCAGTTCCTGTGTATCTTCTATCAGTTTCTGTGTATCTGGTATCTGCTTCAGTGCGTCGTCTATCTGCATCAGATCCTGTATATCTAGTATCAGTTCCAGTGTGTTGTGTGCTTGTTTCAGTGTATCTTGTATCAGTACCAGTGTATCTTGTATCTGCTTCAGTGCGTCGTCTATCTGTGTCATATTCTGCATATCTAGTATCAGATCTTGTATCAGTACCAGTGTATCTGGTATCTGTACCCCTGTATCTTGTATCAGTTTCAGTGTGCTGTGTGACTGCATCACTCCCTGTAAGCCTTTTTCCAGTTTCAGTGTATCTGGTATCTGTACCCCTGTATCTTGTATCAGTTTCAGTGCGTCGTCTATCTGTGTCAGATCCTGTATACCTGGTATCAGATTCAGTGTTTTCTGTATCAGTTTCAGTGTGTCGTGTGTCTGATTCACTCTCTATATACCTTGTACCAGTTTCAGTGTATCTAGTATCGGTACCAGTGTACCTGGTATCTGCTTCAGTGCGTCGTCTATCTGCATCAGATCCTGTATATCTAGTATCAGTTCCAGTGTGTTGTGTGCTTGTTTCAGTGTATCTTGTATCAGTACCAGTGTATCTTGTATCTGCTTCAGTGCGTCGTCTATCTGTGTCATATTCTGCATATCTAGTATCAGTTCCAGTGCGTCGCGTGTCTGCTTCAGTCTCTCTATACCTTGTATCAGTTTCAGTGCGTCGTCTGTCTGTATCAGAACCTGTATATCTGGTATCTGTACCCCTGTATCTTGTATCAGTTTCAGTGTGCTGTGTGACTGCATCACTCCCTGTAAGCCTTTTTCCAGTTTCAGTGTATCTGGTATCTGTTTCAGTGCGTCGTCTATCTGTGTCAGATCCTGTATACCTGGTATCAGATTCAGTGTTTTCTGTATCAGTTTCAGTGTGTCGTGTGTCTGATTCACTCTCTATATACCTTGTACCAGTTTCAGTGTATCTAGTATCGGTACCAGTGTACCTGGTATCTGCTTCAGTGCGCCGTCTGTCTGCATCAGAGCTTGTATATTTAGTATCAGTTCCTCTGTATCTTGTGTCTGTGTCACTCCCTGTATATCTTGTTCGAGTGCCAGTGTATCGAGTGTCTGATTCAGTGTATTGTGTAGTAGTGTCGACTCGTGCATCGGAGTCCGAACTCGTTCTCTGTGCTTCGTTTCTATCATATGACAAATCTAATTCATTGCGTCCCAAATCAGATGATGAAACAGTCGATTCACTTATATCATTGATATTTGTATTAGCAAACTCACTTCGTCTGCTGATCTCATACTCGTCACTGATGTGCGTTGAAGATCTGTCGTGTGTGTTTGTGTTCCCTCTGTGCCTGGAAGAGGATGAGGTTGAAATGCCATGGGAACCTGACTTATCTTGACGTGAGGAAGACGTGTCATACACGTCATTGCCACTGAGGTGTAGTGAGGCATCGTCATAGCCATAAGTTGTGGAACTCCCGTATGTTTCGTGGCCTGTGTCCGAGTCTTTGGCTTCACCCTCTTCGGTCCGTGTTATTTGTGTTTCAAAGTCATAAATGTGTGACGAGGACGATGAAGAAGATGATGGTGTATATGAGGATGAAGAGTAAGAACCTTCACGTTCAGTGTAGGACCCACCACCTTGTTTTTTGCCTTTGTGAGTCCTGCGTGAAGAGGATCGAGAAGAAGACCTTGTTAGTCCTGGCTCTGTGGTAGAGTAAGGCTCCCGGACGTCATATGAGTCCTGGCCACTGTAGGAGGAGGCGGAAGAGGAGGAAGAAGAAGAAGAGGAGGAGGTAGAAGAGGAGGAGGACAAGGAAACGGACGAGGAGGGAGTGGGGGAGGTACTAGTGGTGAGAGAATTTTGTGAGGCCTCCGATTCGCGTGCTGAGAATCCCGAGCCCTGGAGGTGAGTCTCTTCTAGTTCACCAAAGGAGGAGTCATCAGGGGTGTTACTCCAAGTGTCATCTGGGGAGGTAGTTGGGCTAGTGGTTGTTACTCCTGAGGAGGGGCGGGTGGAGGAGGGAGAAGAGAATGCTTTTCTTCTCCTGTATCCTCTCGAGGTCTTCCTGCGTTTGGCTCTAGCGGTGGGGGAGGAGGAGGAGGAGGAGGGGAACACGGTACCTTGTGGGAAGGCAGGCAGGCTGTCATCCCCGCCTTCATCCCCGTAAGTCTTCGCTAAGGTCACCGTCTTCTTGTAGGTCCTGCGCGAGGACTTGGTCGACCCCCAGGAAGAGGACGAGGACGACGATGAATAAGAGCTTCTTCCAGATCCCCGGGACGAGGAGGAACTGGTTGTCCTGTAGCTAGAGTAAGTGTACGAGTTCTCCGGGAGGAACACCTTGTTAATCACGTGGATGACGCCCTTGGCGCTCATGTGGGAAGAGGTGACGGAGGCGCCGTTGACCTGCAAGGGAAGGGAAGGCTTCATTAGGCGCCTTGAATGCATTTTATATATATATATATACGTATATATATAAATATATATATATATATATATATATATATATATATATATATATATATATATATTTATATACATACGTATATATAAATATATAAATTTATTTATATACATGCATACACACACACACACACACATATACATATATATATATACATACATATATATATGTATGTATACACACACACACACACACACACACACACACACACACACACACACACACACACATATATATATATATATATATATATATATATATATATATATATATCCATACATCCATATATACATATATACATATACACACATACATACATGCACACATATATATATATATATATATATATATATATATATATATATATATATATACATATATATATATATATATATATATATATATATATATATATATATATATATATATAAATGTGTCTGTGTGTGTGTGTGAGAGAGAGAGAGAGAGAGAAAGAAAGAGATAGAAAGAGAGAAAGAGAGAGAGAGGGGGGGGGGGGAGAGGGAGAGAGAGAGAGCGAGAGCGAGAAAGAGATGAATACGTACATATACAAATGAATAGATAATATACATATGTGTGCTTGTATATGTGTGTGTGTATATATATATGTGTATGTATATATGTATATATGTATGTATGTATGTATATATATACATATATACATACATATATATATTCATATATACATATATATATTTATATATATACATATATACACACACACACACACACATGTATGTATATCATCTATTCATTTATATATGTATATATTTATCTATCTCTCCCACACTCACACACACACACACACACACATATGTTTATACATACATACATATACATATATATATATATATATATATATATATATATATATATATATATATATATATATATATATTTTTTTTTTTTTTTTTTTTTTATACATGTAAACACACACACACACACATACATAATATATATATATTTATATATATACACATATATACATACACACACATATATACATATATGTAAACTAACTAACCGTGATGGCATTTTCATCTGCCTTCTTGATGTCGAAGGGCCCCCCCATGCCCTCGATGGTGTACACAAGGTTATTCTCAAAGGACGTGGCCGGGAACATGTTGATGGCGATGTGGCTCTTTATCAGTTCCATGAGATAGCGGTCGTCCTGCTTGATCTTGGATAAGGTTTCCTGGTGGAGGGGAGAGAGAAAAAAAGGGGGGGTTAAGGTGGTGCTGGTGGATAGGGGGGGGGGGGATAAGGTGATGCTTGGTAGCGACGGTGAGATGGGTAATATTGATGATAATTAGGTGAAGGGGATGCTGGTGGATAAGGTAGTGGTGATGGTGATGGTAATGATGATGGTGATGATGAAAGTGATTGGAGGATAGGATGGGGAGTGTATAGTGACGATGATGATTACTATGAACGTTAATAATGTGAAGATGATCATGGTGATGAATATGGAGATGGGGACAGCAGACGATGATGAATCAAACAACCGTACATTTTAATGACTAGTGCCTCTTGTTAAGAAATAAATGATAAGGTGAAAATGAAATTTCAAAAGTATAGAATTCATTTAAATTTTGAAAACCGAGGCACTAAAAAAATATATATATATATATCCTAGACGAGAACGTTACTTCAAACAATTTTTTTTTTCTTCTTTTGCTGTATCCTTGTCCCATTCTTGTATGGGGTCGCTATAATCACATTTTTCTTATGGCAGGATGCCCTTCCTGACGCCAACCCTCTCTGTTTACCCAGGCTCCGCACCGGCACTGACTTCGGCTTCCCTTGCCCACCCAGTGGCTAGATTAGACAACCAAACAAATCAACAGTTGAATATAGCTGAATCTTTCCTCCTTACCGAATTGAGCTGTCTGAAGGCCGAATCGGGAGGGACGAAGAAGGTGTAGAAGACTTCGTCGCCAGGCCCCAAGCTCAGCACGGAATTCTCCTGCGACGACGCCTGCTGCAGCGCCTCCAGGAAGATGCTGCGAGAGATAGTCGGTGAGGGAGCGTCGTGGATGAGCGGAGGGAGAAAGGTAGAGGAAGAGAGGGAAAGAGGAGAGGGCGAAGGGAGAGGAAGAGAGAGAGGAAGGAATAGGAGGAAGGGAGGAGCGGAGCGAAGGAGCATTTGATGAATATGGGAGGAAGAGAGAGAGGGGGGGAGGGAGGGAGAAGGGGAGAGAGGGAGGACGAAGGGATAGAGAGGGGGGGGAGAAGGACGGTAGAGAGGGAGAGATGGAGGGGATGAGCAGGGAAGAGGAGGGGAACAAGAAAATAGACAAGGCGAGAGCGAAAGGGGAAGAAGAAGAAGAAGAAGGAGAGAGAGACAGACAGACAAACAAACAGACAGACAAATAAACAGACAAACAAATAAATAAAAAGGCATCCAAACAAACACAAAACAATGAGAGAGAGAAAGGAAAAAAAAATAAAAGAAAAAAAGCAAATCTCAGTAGCTACACCCCAACGCACACGATGGCTTACTTGAACCTCTGCTGCGGAATGGCCCTCAGAATATCCTGCACCGACTGGTTCGACGGCACGATGACCTTGTTGATGATGTGGATGACGCCGTTCTGGGCCTCGATGTCCTTCTCGGTGATCTTGGCGTCCTCCACTCCAAGGGCGCGGCGCCACACCTGCAGGCGGACGGGATTCTCTTCGTCCAGGGACATGATAGCCTGCGGGAGGAGGGAAGGGGCACGGATTAAGGGCGGGGCGGGGCTGGCGAGGGCGTTCAGAACCTCGCGAGGGGTTTAGTGTTCTCTGGTAGGCGTGGTTTTGTGCATCTATATGTGTGTCTATATCTGTATCTGTATTTTTTATCTGTATCTGTATCTGTATTCGTATATGTATCTCTATGTGTATCTGTCTGTAAACACATATGCACACACATACAAACACGCACACACACACACTTACATGTCTATGTGCGTTTGTGTGTGTGTGTGTGTATGTGTGTGTGCGTCAGCGTGTGCGTGCACGTGTGCGTCAGCGTGTGTGTGCGCGTGTGTGTCTAATTATATCCATAAATCTGCACCTATTACATCTCACCTGGTTGTCCGTGATGGCGTTGGTCATGTGTCTGCCGTACGCCCCGTGGAAGCGCACCAGCTGGCCGGCCAACTCCAGGTCGCGTCGGGCGGCGCTCAGCACTTCCGAGTCCAAAGCTTATTGAGAAAGTTGGAAAAAATGAATGGTTAAATCTCATGTACAATATAGGATGGGAATGCAGTTTCCCTCGGAAGGAAAACTGATACTCCCTTATGTGTTGTGGAATGTATTATATGCTCTCTCTCTCTCTCTCTCTCTCTCTCTCTCTCTCTCTCTCTCTCTCTCTCTCTCTCTCTCTCTCTCTCTCACACACACACACACACACACACACACACATATATACACAAACATTAGACTAAAAAAAATGCCGCACTTACAATACCAAGCGGCTTCATCAGGTACGAAGAATGTATAGTCTCCGGTGTGGCTGAGAGTTTCCTCGAGGCCGGCTTTCTTCACGAGTTCGACGAAGGTAAAGAGGTTGCGGCTCTCGGCGAGTTCGATGAGATTCTTGGCTGGGGGGGAAAGGGGTTAAAGTGGGGGGTTAAAGAGGGGGGGGGGGTTGGCTTAATTAAAGTTGATGGTGTGTGTGTGTATGTGTGTGTGTGTGTGTGTGTGTGTGTGTGTGTGTGTGTGTGTGTGTGTGTGTGTGTGTGTGTGTGTGTGTGTGTGCGTGTGTGTGTGTGTGTGTGTGTGTGTGTGTGTGTGTGCGTGTGTGTATGTGTACGCGTATGTATGTGGGTGGGTGTTGAATTTATTCCCTGAAGATACACTACTTGTTAAAACTCACTAATCTGGCAAACACGGATACAACAAATTTTCCGAAATAGTGAAGTTTAGAGTTTTTAAAAATGAATATACTACCCTGTCTCACTGATTCTACTCTATTACCTTGATAACATGGCGGTGTTAGTGATATAGCAAAATCAGCTCTATAAGATAAGGTAAATACAGATTATGTAGAACTGTAATAATGACATTCAAATCACTCTCCCGAACTATCGAAGTTGTCGGACCGTTGATTGCCGGATTAGTGATCTACATTTATTATAAAATTCACTTACAAAACTACACTTAGTTTGGAAAGCTAAACCTACAGAAAAATACACTTAAATGACTAAAATGATAAACAGAATTCTAGAAATGCAAACAACCCATTGCGTTTTCTCGACTCGTTTGAACATCTCATTCATATCTTTAGGAATTTCTTCATACTCAATCCGAAGAACTATTTTTCAACATCCCCTAATGAAAAAAATCCCATGTTTCTTTTCATGAATTTCCAACATCCTTAGTAAAAATAAGAAAGAAAGGAAAAAAAAAACGCAACAACGATCCCCCAAAAAAACAAAAGCCCACCGCCATGCGTAAGGATCCCCAGCACAAGAAAGAACATAAACGCAACGCCATGCGCAAAGTCTCGGAGTTTCCAAGCCTCTCGTCTCACCACGGTCGGGCAGAAGAACATCGTCGATCATGTGGATTATGCCGTTCTTGCCGAGGTTGAAGTTGCCGCGAAGTTTCGTGTTTTCGACGTAGGCTCCCGCGATGTCGCAGTTGAAGGAGATTTTGCTGTCGAGCATAGTGCGAACTCGGTGCTCCCCGGTAATGGCGGACTCGCAGATCACGTGCGGGATCACGTGGTTCTGCAGCAAGGCTAGGGGAAGATGTCCGTGATAAGGGGGGGGGAGGGAGAGGGAAATCATTTTCCATTAAGGGAGGGGTGAGAGAGGGAGGGGTGGGGGCAGAGATTTTAGGGGGAAAAGGGAGAAGGGGACAGATTGTTTTGTGTAGGGAAGGGGAGAGAAGGAGGGGGAAGGAGAGGTTTTCTGTTGGGGAAGCGGATAGAGAGGGAGGTGGGAGGGAGACGTAGTTATGTGGAGGGGTAGGGTGTGAAGAGGGAAGGGGAGAAATTATCCGAGGCTGAGGAGAGAGAAAGATAATTATGTGGAAGTGAAAGGGGAAAAGAAGGAGAGGGAAAGGTTTTCTGTTGGAGAGAAGGGGAGAAAGAGGGAAGAGAGAGGGAATGGGAGAGAATATCTGTAGAGGAAGGCGAAGGAAGAGAGGGATAGGGAAAAGGAGATTTTCATTAAGGGGGAGTGGAGAGAGAGGATGGGTAAAGCGTGTAATTAGGAGTAAAAGGAGGGAGGCATTCGTTATTAACATTAAGGAAAATCATTTACGAAAGGGAAGGGGGGAGAGGGAAGAAAAGGGGTCTGAGAGAGTTAAAGGGGGAACTGAAGGCTCACGACCGAAAGACAAAAATAAGGGGTTGATTTTGGGCAAAATTTTGACGTGGTAAGAACCCAACTTATGAAAATAAGAAAAAGCAATAGAAAACACTACAGGTAAGACTTTTAAAATAAATAACACCTAATCTTGTGAATGTGAATCGAAAGAGAAAGAAAAAATAGAGACCTGTAGGTACTTTAATAATAATAAAAAAAAAAAGATGCTACAAATCACATCAAGAACAGTATTACATAAGTTGGGTTCACTTATCACTCTTAACATAAATCCATTAGATTCATTAGAAAGAGAGTTACGTGAAATCTTTTCGAATTTAAATCTGACCCGGTGAAAAGGAATAGATTAACAGAATAAACTAATTTTATAAATCAAGATTGATGTGTTACATAATTCTTTTGAAGGCATCAAGAATGGCTGCAATGTTGCATGATAATATATGATCGATTTTTTTTTTAATACGATTACTTGACTATATTATAAAGAAAAATATTATAGCAAAAGGTAGTTATTTTTTAAAGTGATTATCATAAATTGTTTTAACTGAATGCATGCGAAAAAGATCTACATTGACTCTTTGATTATCTTTCCCCCTCCCTCTCCTTCCTTCCCTCCTTCTCTTCCTCCCTCTATTATTCCACCCCCACCTCTTCTCTCTCTCTCTCTCTCTCTCTCTCTCTTTCTCTCTAATTCTCTGTCTGTCTCTGTTTTTTTCTATTTTAATGTCCGCCTCCCCTCCCCCCCCCCCTCTCTCTCTCTAATTCTCTATCTGTCTCTGTTTTTTTCCATTTCTATGTTCGCCTCCCCCCCCTCTCTCTCTATTTATCAATCTATCTATCTATCTCTAATTCTCTCTCTGTCTCTGAGTTTTTATAATTTTTTATGTCCGCCTCTCTCTCTCTCTCCCTCTCTCTCTCTCACTCTCTCTCATACACTCTCACTCTCTCTCGTTCTTTCTCTCTCCCACTCTCTCTCTCTCCTCTCTCTCTCTCTCTCTCTCTCTCTCTCCTCTCTCTCTCTCTCCTCTCTCTCTCTCTCCCTCTCTCTCTCTCACTCTCTCTCTCTCCCTCTCTCTCTCTCTCTCCCTCTCTCTCTCTCTCTCCTCTCTCTCTCTCTCCTCTCTCTCTCTCTCCCTCTCTCTCTCTCTCCTCTCTCTCTCTCTCTCCTCTCTCTCTCTCTCTCTCCCTCTCTCTCTCTCTCTCTCTCTCTCTCTCCTCTCTCTCTCTCTCCCTCTCTCTCTCTCACTCTCTCTCTCTCCCTCTCTCTCTCTCACTCTCTCTCTCTCCCTCTCTCTCTCTCACTCTCTCTCTCTCCCTCTCTCTCTCTCACTCTCTCTCTCTCTCTCTCTCTAATTCTCTATCTGTCTCTGTTTTTTTCTATTTTAATGTCCGCCTCCCCTCTCCCCCCCCCCTCTCTCTAATTCTCTATCTGTCTCTGTTTTTTTCTATTTTAATGTCCGCCTCCCCTCTCCCCCCCCCCTCTCTCTAATTCTCTATCTGTCTCTGTTTTTTTCTATTTTAATGTCCGCCTCCCCTCTCCCCCCCCCCTCTCTCTAATTCTCTGTCTGTCTCTGTTTTTTTCTATTTTAATGTCCGCCTCCCCTCTCCCCCCCCCCTCTCTCTAATTCTCTATCTGTCTCTGTTTTTTTCCCATTTCCATGTTCGCCTCCCCCCCTCTCTCTCTCTATCTATCAATCTATCCATATATCCATCTGATGTTCACCTATACACCCATCCAACGAAGTATCTATCTATTTATCCACCTTTATTCCACCTATACACTCATCCATCTACCTGTTTATCTGTCTACCTACCTATCTACCTCTCTATTTACCTATTCATCTATCTATCTGCCTATCTATCTATCTGTCTATCTATTCTATCCATCCATCTATACACTATCTAATAAATCACACATATAGACACGCAAAATTCGATAAACCAACAACCTGAACTTCGACTCACATTGAGCACCATGTCTGCAACATTCTGCAAGATGCCCACAGAAGGATCCAAAACGTTGTCGATGACGTGCACGATGCCGTTGGTGGCCTGCTGGTCCTTCCTGATGAGGAGGGCGCAGTTGATGGTCGTCATCTGAGGAGGAAGGAAGTCGTTTCTTAAGGAGGTTGTTTCTTAAGAAGTCGATTTTTAAGGAGGTCGTTTCGTAAGGAGGCTGTTTCTTAAGAAGTCGTTTTTTTAAAGAGGTTGTTTCTTAAGAAATCGTTTTTAAGGTGGTCTTTTCGTAAGGAGGCCGTTTCTTAAGAAGTCGTTTTTAAGGTCGTTTCGTAAGGAGGTCGTTTCTTAAGAAGTCGTTTTTAAGGATATCGTTTCGCAAGGAATCGTTTCTTAAGGAAGCCGATTCTTAAATAAGGAGGTCGTTTTTTAATCAAGATCGTTCGTCGATTTTTTTTTTTTTTTTTTTTTTTTGACTTTCAATAATCGTATCTTTAAATAGAGATACATGGGGAGATATTACTGTTTTTTATTTTTTATTTTTTATTTTTTTGAGATATGTGAATGATACTAAAAATAATAGTTGTCATTTTGTCCCTATTTTCAGAGGCATGTGAATAAAACTTAACCATTCATTTATTCTGAGTATGGCATCCTTGTTGCGTCTCAGCATTAGAATTCAGTAGATTATGATTCAGGACATACCATAACACTGCATGAAATAGCGTAGACAACAATGAAAAACACAACATACATTTAACGCAACATACCTAACCCAGCACAAATACAAAAAAGCACACACATAAACGCAACACAGCTTAACCTTACATAGAGCAGACATGACTCAACATAACACAGCGTAACGTTACGTAGTTTAAACACGCCACAGCCTTGCCAAAACATATACGCAACGTAATATAACAGCATAACATTGCCTAGCATATGCGCAACACACTATAATACAGCATGATCTTACCCAACACACACAGCATAACCTCTCCCAACATTGACACATCACAGCATAACCTCACCCAGCATAGACACATCACAACATAACTTCATCCAACTTAGACCACAATACAAACACACCATAACCTCACCCAACATAGACACAAGCACATCATCGCAACATAGGACAGCATAGCCCAACTCAACCCAACCACATCACAACATAACCCCACATAACCCCACGTGCCCTGAAGAGAACTCACCCCGTTGGAATACTTATTAATCCTGACGTTATGCCCCTGGTGTCTCGTCTCCGCCATGAGGTTCGCCTTGAACTCGTCAGATTTCAGCTTCGTCGGCAGGATGTGGTACAGGAGGATCGGGTTGTTAGGATTCCCTCGGTAGGATTCCATCTGGCTCTTCAGGGACCGTCGCAGGTTCTGTGTTGAAAAAAGAAAAAAGGAAAAAAAAAAGTTGAGGTCACTGGGTTTGGCTTTTTTTTTTTTTTTTTTTTTTTTTTTGGGGGGGGGGTTGTTAGATGGTGAGATTTTCATTTTCTCATTTGGTAAATAGTTTACTGGTGTCGATTTTAATCAGGATTATGATTACTATTCCGTTATCAGAACACGTGTTTATGCATTTATAAATGCAATAATGACAATAAATGACGAACTAAAACAACCAAGAAAAAACAAAAACAAAAAAAACCTACACTGAAGGCCTCGTTGGTGGGCGCGAAGAGAGTGTATGCCCCGGCGGTCTCTAGCTCGTTGGCCAAGCCGGATTCCCGGATGTACTCAGCCCATTTGGTGGCTCCGAGCGCCTCCGCCGTCTCCAGGAGGTTCTTCAGAGGCTTCACTGCGGGAGGACGGAGGGTGAGAGCCGGTCGAGAGGTCGGTGGGTGTGGTGGCATATATATATATATATTTATATATATATATAGTAACGTGTGTGTGTGTGTGTGTGTGTGTGTACATATATATGTATACATATAATATATATATATACATATGTATACATATATATATATATATATATATATATATATATATATATATGTGTGTGTGTGTGTGTGTGTGTGTGTGTGTGTGTGTGTGTGTGTGTGTGTGTGTATAGACACACACATACACTTTGTGTATATATAAATCTACAGCATACGTAACTATATATATATACCCATCTAACTATAATATTAAACCTCCCTTTTTAAGTCCTGAACTTTCCCCCACTCACTCCATCCCCAAACTCTAGCAGGAAGCCCAAACATCCTGCAACACTGCACGCTTACCTCTCGTGCAGCCGACCTCATCGTCGATCCTGCTGAAGCCTTCACAGCACTCGAACCGGATGCGCCTGCAGGATTAGGGTCAAAGGTTATGAGTTTAATAATGATGCATGTTTAGTGTGTGTTCGTGGTAATGCGTGAAAGGTCTATGAGTTATAGATTTTTTTTCTCTTTTTTGCATCTTAA